TTACTTTAGGATGGAGTTGTGGCAAGGTTTTTGGTCTCAAAACTGATCGACACAATCCACTAACCCAGATTTAAGCCCTCCTTACGGTTCCGTTGTAACAAAGTTAAGTTCTTTCATCTACTCGGATTTTCAAATTTTCAAACCTTGTATCAGTTTCAAAGTCGTTTTCTGTATGTTCCATATTGTAAGTTTGGGAGACAATGGGAATGCTTCAAAATTGTATTAGGTTAAGGTTCAATGACGGCATATTACACATAGAGCTTTGTGGATTACCTGAGAACTCGTTCCACTGCAATTTGTTGATTATTGATCTCGATAACAGCTGCAATAATTTGTTCTGACTCCGGAGCTGTCATTTCCGACTGAACTTGTAGAACTTGACTTAGGCAAACAAGACTGAAGTCGATGAAAACAAACTCATGGAAAAAGCCTCGTGTCACATATGTGTAATCGTAATCACAGCGTTCTCAAATAAATTAATAATATTTCACCGCATGCCCATTATGACATGGTATTACACTTTCATAGGCGAATAATGGCTGTGATCGATTCATCATTCTAGTCTCTACAGATTGTGTAAGCAAATGACATATTAGGCGAGGATAGACAATCAGTCATTCAAAAATCGTCGTGACTGTTTTGCAGCGAGCATGATGTGGGGCAAGCGGTGCGACGTGTTTCATCCCACTAAGTCACCACAACAATACAATCAGGTTGTGACGCACCATTCATGTGATTGATCTTTGACCACGATAGTGGAATGGCACGGGCCAATCTCTTTTGTGCTAGTGGATTGGGTGTGAACAAACGAGTACCGATCGATTCCGCAGTAGCTAGGGTGTGGAGACGCAATGGTCTGGATGGGNGGTACTCGATATTTAACTTCGAAGGTTGATTCACGCTTCTCAGGGTTATCTCAGTTTGGTAGGTGGGCGAGAATAGCGCTTCCTGTGCCACATTTCTCCTGGTGTCTCCTGGTGGTCTTGAATCCGCTGGAACAGTTGTTTAGTCATAAGGCCAATGTAAGTCGCGTTAAAAACACAGCTGAAGAAATAGATAGTCATAGATGAATCCAGAGTAGGTGAGGCGGTCTTTGTCAGATGTTGTCGGATGAACCTGTAAATATGCGTGACAAAATAGCTGCATTAAAAGTTCCTCTCACCAAAGGGGTAAACGTCTTGTAACCAGATCATACAGTTCCTCTTCTTTGAATGGCGGTTTGATAAACAACTTTTTTCTCAGAAGTTCCTGAAGGAGTTCGTATTATGGCCTTTCTTATAGGTTTCTATCGATGAACCCCTCCCTGAAAATGTATTCCATCTGTTCAAATTCATCTGGGAATGTGGATTCCGTACATATCGTTTTGGCAAGCGAGATGTTTGTCTAAGTTGGTATACCGTTCGTCCACTTTTTTCAGTATACCCTTCTTTCAAGCATCCATCAGTCATCCTGTCTAGAACTACGTCAAGATATGCCAGTTTGTTATATTTCCCTGCTTCTTGGGTGAAACTTATGGAGTTCTGAGCCTTGTTATACGTTTGTGTGATATGGGTCTGGTCTTTCGTTTTGTCAGTTATTCATCATTTAGTCAACATATGGCGTATAGAAAAACAGCTTTCTAATTCTAAATTAAAGGACGACTTTTTCCAGATTCGCCATGAACATTTCGCTAGTATCGAACCTAGTGTTCAGCCAATAGCAACACCATCCGTCTGTCGATACGGTTTTTTGTTAACTTGAAACTAAATGTCAAAAGAGCAGGAGAGTTCGGAAACTCTTGTATATAGTTTTAACTTACTACCGTTGTAAAAATGTTTTGGACTACCAAAAGGTTTTCATAGTTTTAAACGTTCAGCACCACTCGATTTTGCAATCGAAAGCAATGTCAATCCGAACGCATGCCCGATGAAGCGCCATTACTTTATTGCTCAAATTTATGTCGTATTCTTCAAAGGCAGAAAACCTTCTCACCTTGCTGCATCCAAAAAGCGATTCCCTCTCGGTTGTTCTGTATGGTCAACAAGTAAGATCCTCAATTTATCCAGACAGCAATGCACTTGGAGAACACCGGACTCGAGTTTTGCCACACTTTGAACTAATTAATTGTACATACTCATCGTCCACTTCGGGCATCGCATGAAAGGTGTGGTGTATGTTACCACTGTGTCAACCAGGTGTTGGGTCCATGGTTCAGAGCCAGGAGTTAACGGTATACATAAACCACTGATTAACCCTAAGTATAAATACTATTACACCTGCAGCTTCATCGAACGAACTCTGACCTAAAAAAAAGAGAGTAAAATCAAACGGAGAGTCAGGAATAAGAATAACTCTCCACTATATCAAGGAAGTAAAAGTTATGCATAAACCAACTGCATACCTACGAACAATTCTACCTGAACAAAGAAAGACAAAAGGAATGCTTTCGCATACTAAATTGCAAGGAATACTCAAAGCACTGCATTGGACAAACTGGAAACAAAACTATGAACGGGGATCCGTGGACACAGACTAGAAATCGGGAGCCATGATGCGCTCTCACTCATTTTCCTTATTAAAAATCAAGGAACAGTGATAATCATCAACCATGACGCAACGAGAGATTGTGTCGTGAAGTTGCCCAGTCACATTTGTGTCCACCGATGCACTGCAACTTTGTGAGTGAGCTGACATCATAGATCGACATTCCTATATTACACGTGATAGTGCCCAGTTCATGACAGACCTGAAGAGAAAATAACCTAGACGCTCCAGCTTTGATCAGGTCACAAGCACCATGGCGAACGAATAACATTTCTTTTTCTTTGATTTCTATGGCAAATTCAGTTGCTTAGACAAACATTAAACATTTTGAGACCAGTTGACTACCCGCTTCGATGCGCTTGGATGCGTTATACTTACATGCTGTCCATCATTGTTGGGATTTTCATATTTCAACTCAATATCACGAATCCTCGCCGCTCCCGGGATTAAATTTGTAGTGTCAAATGCAGCGTGACATCTTTTATTGGTTCATCGGCCTGTGCGACTCTATAGTTTCTCACTATCCAGCTTAGAACAAATAAGCAAGCGCGCAGGATGGCAAGCTGCCCTTAATTGCACCTCATTGACCAAGAAATCTGTTCCCTCACTGATCAACTTTCACATTCTGTTCCTGTTTACAAAAATGTCGGATTTATCTACTGTCCTTCGTTCGGGAGTTTATGTGAATACTTCTGTAGTGTGTTTACAAGTAATCCGCTTGAATAAGCAAGTAGATGACCATGAAAGCCAAAGATCAGGTCGAATTGCAAGATCAAAACAACTAGGATTTCGAGCATGCACTGAACGCTAGTATGCCGAAGCTTTGGCCACTAGCAGCCACTCTGCATGTGTCAACAGAAATGATGAAATTGATATCCCAAGCATTTTGACTACCCTAACATCCCTAACGCGTAATCCTGATAAAGGTCAAGGTGCCACTTGATCCTATCTGATAATGGGAGTTAGTATGTCAGACAACGAATCATTCAGCCCACTACACACACACAAACACACGCACGCACACACACACGATGAAATATCCGTAGACTTGTGATTCTTTCCTCTGAGTCATTCGATTGTAAAACCTGCCTTGAGAAAGTTTACCCACGGTAACCTAAACATCGGTGAATATAATTCTCTACCAACATTGCTGTGTTATTATAACATTATAACATTAACAATAGATGACACTCTAGTTTAGATGAACGGCTTTTTAAGTTCACCGAAATGATAATGGATTCGGAGGAAAGAAGACTACAGGGTTTGTTGTAATATATGACAACCTTCCTCGTGTGGTAAGAACCACGCTAATTTTCGGTACTGTTCAAAAGGTATAGAGCGCTTAACCGTGCAATGTCACCCAGAATTTCGCCGTTTTACTCACTACATTTCTAATCACTTATACATATCATCTTACTGTACACAACCACATCCCAGGTAATTATGTGATTCATTTATACGTTTTATTGCGCCACTTTTAAATCTGTTTTTGCGTAAGTATTATGAACTTAAACCGTTCTAGTGTTGCAGGTATATGTTTGGATTGCACATAAGAACGTGATTGGCTGTTTCTCCTAACTGTCAAAATTGAATAATATCTCTTCGAGGGAATTACTGTGTTCAAAACGGTAACTACGGGAAATGCGCTTCTGCCTTCTGACCGTTCAATTAATCATCCGCAATGCTGATATGCTTTCTGAAGGCTTGTTCCAAATGAGACATTTTGTTGCACCTTTCTCAATTTACCGATATTCTGCTACTGCTGCTGTGTTGAAATCTGTATGTGTCCAAGGGAATGATAACCTGGCCACAACAAACGTCGCTGCGAAGACAGAAGGAAAGTGTATACAATCCTCATCATGCTACAGCTTGCTGTCAGGCACTTGTCCAAGCTTATCAAAGCCGCAGAAAATTGATTAGATGCATTATTCTCATACCGAATTCCTAGGACTGGTTTTTGTGCACTCAATGGGATCTATTCCACGGTAATGTCTCAAAATAGAGAGGCTTCCCAGAACATGTGTGTATTCTGCTCCAGGAGTGTTGGCCCCAGAGCCAAAGGGCTCCGTTGTGATGGGTGTGATGGGTGGCTGCACTTCAAATACACTCAGATCGACGCAGACAAACACGAACGGCTACAGAATTACCCCTCTCCATTCCTGAAGATCTTGTGCTTCAGTTGCTCGGTCGTTCCTTCCAAGGAGGAATAATCTCCACTGCCAAAATCTCTCTAACCCGCATAACGCCGGCTACTGTTGTGAAAGTGGCCTCCTCATATGCAGATGTCATTTCCAATTCACTTATAAAAGCAGCTCCTGCAGCTACACCGCAGCAGAAGCACCCGAAATAAAGGCAGGGATATCGTCTGCTGCATCGCCCTCACGGACAGACTCGACTCCCTCGTCCACGACATCCAGGCACGGTGCGTGTAACATGTCACGTCAGTTAAGAAGAGCCCCCGTGATTCGCAGGAGCCTATGCAGCAGAGGAAGCTCCCTCCNCCTCCGAGATCTCAGTTCCTTATTGTTGTGAATCTACCGGAGGCCGAGGCCACCATTGCCCAGGCTCGTCTGGACCACAACTTGCAGCTGCTAAGGTCCCATATCATTACCTTGTTTCATGGCGACGAAGTGGAACCGATCAGAGTAAAAGCGGCATTCAGGCTTGCAAAACCCCGCCAGGACTATTCTCCACGACCAATGAAAGTGGTTCTTCGAGCAGAAAGCGAGACAAAAGCGATACTCCAGCGGACCCCGAAGCTGAAGGGAACTTCGGTGCGATTCCTCAGGGATCTTGCTCTCGACCAGCGCAGTAAAAAGAAAACTGCATAAGAAGAACACAGGGAGCGCCGTGCAAAAGGGAAAGCTGATCTGTGTATACGGGATTTTCGCGTCCGCTCGGGTCTTCCTGTTCGAGTGCTGGAGAATTACGCCTATCCGGAAGGATTTGGAGAAGCCCTGTGGAGCAGAATCAAGCTTTGTACCGGAGAGTATACCACAACTGGAGTGATTTACCGCACACCAGCTGTGTACGTCCCAGAGCTGCTGGAGAGCATACAGAGGTACACCTGCGATGGGCATTGTCTTCTCTTGGGTGATTTCAACGCATCCCATGTTGATTGGGAAACTGACATCTGCTCTCAGCACACAGATTTGTTCTCCATAGAACTTCTTTTCGCTGCCCGGGCCCTGTCGCTTGTTCAGCATGTTCGTGTGTCCACGCGGATAGTTGAGGATCAAAGATACATCCTTGATCCGGTATTTTCGCCGAGGCAATCAGATACAACTAGCATTGACCGCCTTCCACCAATTGCATCTAGTGATCACTCCGTTCTGCGTATACACTGGAAGCGTGGCGTACCCCAAACGGACAGACCACAGGACGGACGGAATGTGTGGCGCTCATCCTTTCCGGATATGCGTCAGGCTGCATCGCTCACAATTGGGATTCACGGAACCCTGAGGATGTAGATGTATCCTGGGAGTTGGTTCGTCATAGAATCCAGCAACTCGTACTGAAATTCTCTCCACCTCACCACCACCGAACACACGCTATGGGCCCGCCGTGGTTTGACCGAGAACTGCGGGTATGCCTCCGGCAGCGGAATAAAGCCTCGTCCAGGTACCGTGCAAGAGGCGCAGGATATGGGGAATATCGATGTATTCGAAATCATGGTACTGCACTAAAAAATGCAAGAGAACCAGATTTGAGGAACGACTAGCAGCGGATTCAGTACAAGCACCAAAGCGATTGCATGCCTACCTCAGGCGAAGAATCAGAGCAACGCCTGGTCTCCCGAATCTCGCCAAAGATGGGGCACTAGCCGAAAAAGATGAGGACAAAGAGGAGATGCTGGCATCACATTATGCCTCAGTGTACACCCCAGCCTCCAGTACACTGGCACATCTACTGGACACTGACACTGCGCTGAAATGGGCCCCATTTTCCATAGGAGAGGTGGCCCTGGAGCTGCAGCGACTAAAGGTTCACCAGTCACCTGGACCTGATGGTGTGCATCCGCTGATCCTGAAGGAGCTGGCAGATGAACTTGCAGCGCCACTGTGCAACCCGTTCAATTTGTCATTCACTCAAGGGCGTTTACCGCGGCAGTGGAAGGACGCTGTCATTGTTCCATTGCCCAAAGTTGGGGATAGGAGTGACCCTTGGAACTATCGACCAATCAGCCTTACTAGCGTTATGGGTAAAGCAATGGAGCATCTGGTGGCTGCACGGATTCGGCAGCATCTGGTGTGCACGGTCACCTATGCCACCAACAACACGGTTTCCGGCCGGGTCGCTCATTCCCCTCAAATCTGCTACTTGCACGTGAATGTTGGACCGAGGACAAGGCCAAAGGATACGAAACGGACATCATCTTCGTGGACTCCAGCAAGGCCTTCGACAAGGTGCCGCACGACCTCTTTCTGCGAAAGCTGTCCAAACTAGGTGTAGCTGCGTTAATGTGGAATTGGTTGCTAGACTTCCTCATCCACTGGAAATTCTGCGTCCGTGTTGGCAAATTGCTCTCTGCGTGGTATTCCGCTCCCAGTGAGGTCCCCGAAGGCTCGGTTCTTGGTCCAGTGCTCTTTGTGGTATATGTGAATGACCTGCTTGGTCAACTGCGTAGCCCATCCCTCATGTATGCAGATGACACCAAAATCTGGCGTACAACCGAGGATCCGAATAATCGAGGGGCTCAAGCGGATTTGAACAATCTGGCTCAGTGGGCGGACACCTGGGCTCTTCCAGTCAACACAGCAAAGTGTGCTCACCTGCGTTTGGGGCGTGCTGACTCAGAGGTAGTCTACAACTTCCAGGGAAACACATTGCGCAGAACATCGAGCGAACGAGACCTGAGTGTTATGGTTACGTCATCACTAAAGACGCGCGAAAACACCGATCGGGTCTGTG